CAACAACAACCCTGTGAGAGGAGTCTGGGTTGAGAGAGAGTGACTAGCCCAAAGTGACCCAGCTAGTTTTCATGCTAAAGTGGGACTAGAACTCACATCTACTCAGTTTCTAGCCTGGTAGCCTAACCACTAATCCCAGTTTGGTAGCCAGACCAATCCCAGATTAAAAAAATAAAAGATTGTTTTTGTGATGCCACTATAATGTATAACCAAAATATTTAGTTATGTGCAACTAATTTTTTAAAATAAGTCTCATGTTTTTATCCCTTAATTATCATCAGTGTTCTCTGATGTAGCAGACACCTGCAGCAATTCCAGCACACTGATCACAACTTAATGTGTGGTTACATCTGATTCATTTTTACAAGCAAAAAAGAGGTAGCTCTTTTTAATGCTTTAATTTTGTGCTTTATCAAGGGAAATTATCATAATTCAAGTGGTTTCTATTCTATCAATTTTCCCCTTCTGAACTTTGGTTACCAGAGTTGGGGGAAAAATTGGCTTGAGACTTTAAGGAGTTCTACTGCTGGAGTAGCTACAATTGAATTAAATAGGTGATTAATCTGAATATTTTGGCAATTCCAAACTTCTCATTCCTATCTTAATTAAATAGCCTTAGAGGGACCAAAGGAATTGTACCAATTAAATTTGTCACACCTAGCCAATTCTTTTTTACAGTTTCTACCTTACTGTTTCTATTGTTTACGGTTTCTATTTGATATGTGATCAATTACCTTGAAGACTAACATCAGCATGTGGTTGAATATGGGCAAATCAGTCTTTCAGACCCAGAGTTTGACTTATATGTGGCACCAGAAAAATAGACCCACTAGAGGAAAGGCTAAATGTAATCAGAATGCCATACCACAGATACCTCTAAGTCAGAAACTTTGCCTTCTACAAGGCACACAGTAATTATAGAGTAAACGTTAGCAATGATATAATCAATCTCTGGCCAGCCAAAGTTTTACAGTCAAACTGTGGCTCACTTGGAAAGTTGCCCACAATGCTTCAAATAAAACTATGAATAGATGCCATCTGGGAATTTTTAAACAATTTTGGTAACTGTGTTATTTAGGTTTACAAAACTGTAATATAGATCATACATATGGATACTGCAATTTCAGCAGTTGAATTACACGTTAACAAAAATTACCTTCCAACTTTCAGATAGGAATAAGTATTTGGAATATTAATAGTTAATATCATCCTCTAAACATCACTTAATTGGGAATGTTACATAACTCTAATTACTTCTTCTGATAATGTAAGCTTTATATCATGGATATTTTTCAGATTTGAAGTCTGTCCAGAAAATATAAGGTAAAATTAATTTTGTCTTGTTTCAAATGCAAGAATGGTTACTTAAGAGACTTCTTTCTGAGCAGAAAAGCTGAGCTTAGTCATGCACATGTACAATTTAGTGAATGGGTTGCAAGCACACTCACTAAATTTCATGTAACCAACCATTTCATAGCATCAGTAATCTGGCTAGAGAATTAAGAATTCAACCACAAATTAATACAGCTAGATTACAAATGTAGTTCCCTTGCCAGCCCACAAATGTCAGCTACAATGCCCAATTCCTTCCTGAAAACTGCAGACTGAAGACACAAGGAAGAAAAAGGTGCACTGAATCATATAGAACAGCAGCCCCCAATCTTTTGCGCACCAGGGACTGGTTCTATGGAGAAAGTTTTGCCGTGGACCAGAGGAGGCATGGTTTTGCATGCTGCCTGCATACCGTGGATGGGGCTTCGCTTGTTTGCGCAACCTGGTTGTTGGCTTGCTAGGGACTAGTGGCAATCCACAGACTGGGGTTTGGGGGACCCCTGATATATAGATATATACTTCAGTCATAATCCATATTCATTTTATTTTCACTAAACCTTACTTCCAAATATGTTTTTAGTTCCATATTCCTCTGATTCCTTACTTTCTGTCCAAAGACTGAAGCTAGGAACAGAACATTCAAAAAGTGAAACCAAACCACAGTGCAGATTATTAATTCAAGTGTCACAAAAATCCATGTAGTCAGCTAAAATCAAAATAATCAAATCTTATTCCAGCTCAGCCTGAAACATTAGAAAGTGCTTCAGAAATATTGTTAAGATTACTTGTTCTTTTCTTCTTGCAGCAGCTTACAATCCAGAAAGAAAGCTCTATAAGCAGATTTATTGTACTGAGCAAGAAGATGGGTTACAGAAACTTAGAAATAGGCTATGAGTTACTTGGTTCTCATTTAACTGTGAATATATGAATATTTGGAGAAGTCTTGGCTTCATGAGGAACATGGTAATCACTTGACACCACAGAAATGTCCACCACTTCTTATTTTGCAGTGTTTTGGAAATTCTTATCTCCAGAGCAAGGGTCTTCAAACTTGGCAAGTTTAAGACTTGTGGACTTCAACTCCCAGAATTCCTGAGCTAACATGACTTGAGGAGGAATTTTGGGAGTTGAAGTCCACAAGTCTTAAAGCTGTCAAGTTTGAAGACCCCTGCTCCAGAACCAGAGAATTTCATGGCAAAAGGACTTTCCCCAACTTGACATTCTCCACATTCTATAGTTGTAATTACTGGGTACTCTCAAATACTTGCTTCATGGACAATGTGTCAGAATATAAGATACTTTAACTTAAAAACTTTCAATTAGGGCTTGAACTGCATTATTGTCAGAAAAGTCTGTTCTGTTTTAGGTATTTCATTCAGTTGGTTAGAGCTAGTTTTAAGAAAGAAATGGATTGAGATGTATTGTTCCCTAACCCTTATAATTTTCCTCTTTGTGTTTTGTATTTAGTGAAGCCCAGGCATTTGCCTGCCATGACAGATATGGTCAGTCAACTTGGTGGCTGAAAGATTATAAACAGTGGAATAATAAGAACATATAGCCGTGACTTTATGTTTTGATAATTACAGCAGGAAAGGTGAGAGTAATGGTTAAATCTTCAAAACAATATTGACTCTGTTTTTAAGTAAGTTTAAGATTACTTTGAATTAATTTTCTGATACCCAATCACATGATTAAATATACTTGCTTTTGCTTGCACATTAGGAAAAGGTAATAAATAAAGTGATTTTTAAAAATCGTCCATTTATTTTAGGTGATCAAGATGACATCAAAATGAAATTTCAAGATGAAATTTATATAGCCGCCTACTCAGTCACAGTAATTCAAGGTGGCTTACAAGCAATAAAACACAGTATAGAAAAATACACACACACACACACACACAAGCCTTTGATGAGTTCCATCACATTCTGGGTTCCCACTCTGGATTAAGCTACCCAACAGGATATTGATAACCCATAAATTTACACAGAAAAATGCTTGGAATACGAATTCATCACTTTCCAATCTAGTATTTATTGAATTAGAATTAAAGAAATGTTCTGAGGGTAGAAAAAGGTGAGAGGCTTTCCTGACAATTCTAGCTGAGTGAATTGAGCTTTCCAGCCTGTCTTTATTGTTTTGATCACTTCCAAATTTATTTCAATCTACTGTGAAGATTTATTGGGGCATTGAAACTATCTTGGATTTCTATACCAAGAGAGGTGCAACCCAGATAATTCCCTTGAGCATCGCAATGACTTTGATACTTTTCATTAAGATTACACCCAAGATTCATTTTCAAATATCTCTGTATTCAAGAGTTAGGAGAGTGTAATAACAAGGTATTTTTCTGGCAGCTGCATTCCATTTTTCAGGATACACAATAGGCCACGCACAGTAGGCACTCCCAATACTAGATGGTTTTATTTTATTATACCTTTTCAAGTATTATCTTCAATCTTTCAGACTATGCTACCACATTTGTTTGGGTGTATTTTATATGCTTAAAAGTTATTACATTCCAAATAGAAAAAATGTGTGGGATCATAGAAGCTAAGTTGTAAGCAAAAAATTGTAGATTAATGGGGGGGGATGTTCATTTTGCTTTGAGAGGGATGATGAATGAATTTGTCAGGGCTTAACTTCATGTGAAAACTTTGCATTGGTGCCAGGTTTTTAATGTTTGTGGCTTTAAATAAATATATGTATTATATTGTTTTATGATTGATCTTACCTTAATTATTGGTTGGCAGCTATCCAGATTTCATTATAAGAGGGGTGACTACATACATTTTAAAATAAATAAAAACTGCTCTCATATTCTATAATCCCTCTTTATTTTTATCATTTTTTAAAATGTGATAATCGCAACTGAATGGCATATTCCAAAAGATGCCTTTCCAGGATTTATCCTTTAATTTAACACGCTGTATGTTTCTTGACCCTTCCTAGTTTAACCTCTGTCATAGATGTCAAAATAATGTAATCAATTGTGGCCAATGAAATTGCTTTAACAAAAAAGCTTAATAGTGTATTGGAGGATGAGGCAGGGAGCTACCAATGCATGATATCACTGGAGCAAAATGCAGTAGCCAGGTAGTTACGGGTGCCAGTCTTTCAATACATGTGACACCTTTGCTCAGCAAGCTACATTATCTACCAACAACCTTTCAGGTATAACTCAAGGTGCTGGTGGTTACTTTAGAGCCCTTTATGGCTCATACCAAATGACTACAGGACTATCTCTTCCCAGTAGTACCTAGCCATTCTGTTAGATCCAGGAGAGGCGTGTTCCAGATCCTGTCCATTAGAGAGTTTCATCTGGCATCTGTCAGGACTCAGAAAGTCTTTTCTTGCCCTCAAGAATATCATCCCCCCTGAAATTAGACTTGCTCCAATCTTGCTGTCCTTTTGCAAGACACTAAAAACCTGTAGTAGTACATGTGAACTCATTTCATGCTTGATGTTACTATGAGTTGTGAATGTTCTCGGCAGCTGATTGATTTGATTTGTAACCCACCTTTATTATTTTTACAAACATCTCAACGTAGTGAATATACTCCATATACCTTCCTCCTCCTTTTTCCCCCACAACAAAATCCTCTGAGGTGGAATGAGCTGAGAGTGAGTGACTGGCTCAAAATCACCCAGCTGGCTTTCATGGTTAGGGCGAGACTTGACCTTTGGGTTTCAATCCCAAAGGCCAGCAATATATTATTGATATCACTTTTGTCCTAATTCAGAAGTCTCATAATGCACTTTGATAGTGAGATTGATATGAAGGGTCTGTTCTTGTTTTGAATCTTGCCTATTCAAAATATTCTCCCTCCATACACTTATGGGATCTTTGGGTCTATTCTGTGTTCTGACCCCCAAAGTCACCTCTTGGTAAAGAGAAGCTACTACTTGACAGCAGGACTGTTGCTTTCAAGATGGATGGTCTGGCTTAGCAGAGGAATATTATAGTTAACTTACCCACCTACCAAGCTGAAAACAAGACTGTACAAACTGTGAACCACAATAATAATCAGCTTCAATTCTTTTTCATCCAGGAGTTTATTGGTTATATTTTAAATTTAAACAACATTGTACAACCTCAGCCCCATACTTAGAACAGAAATGAATGTACTTTCTTTATTCTGTATCTATACTGAGCATCAATGTCCTTCTTCACTATTACTTCTCTCCATCCTTTCAAATATCTGGATCCTTTTTAATCTGAAAAATGAATGTGAAATTTTAGTCTGAAAAATTATAAAATTTATTATAAAATAGACACCAAAATTGCTAGGGCAAAATTATTAGGATGAAATGAAAGATGAAAACAGTCATCCCTGGTCCAGCAAGAGACTTCTTTTATTCTTAAATTCATTCATTCTCTCTGTGACTGTATCTCCATCATCTCTAGTCCAATAAAGATGAGAAAGCAATTGTTAAGTGTTACTTCATCTAAATAAACTTATGTCTTACTAAAACTGTTCTTATAATCTGGCAAACCCTTTTTTCGTAATCAAGCAGCAGCTGAATAATTGAAAAATAATTTCTCATTTTGCAGCTGATGGACATTGTTTATTTTTTTTATGGGCCAACAATACCTCTAACAGAATTGTGGACGCATTTGCCGTATCTTCTGTAGAAATGGAACTGTCTTTGAACAGCAATCTAGGTAAACGCCAAGTTCACATACCAAAGAAGAGCATATATTTTCTAAAAACTTTCTTTTATCATATTGTTCAGAGTTTGTTTGTTTGCCTTTTAAAGCTTGTCCTCTTTAGATATGATTACAATGGCAAATAGGAAAGTGACCTTTCCATATCTTTTAAAACAGCACTAAACTAATTTCTGAGTTATCATGAATAAACATTGTGTGGACAACTGTTGCTATTTCTGACACAAATGGGGAATATTAAGGGAAGTAGTGACAGAATGAATACACAGTAGGCTATGCATAATTATACATACAAAAAGTCTTAGATTTGCAAACTCTAAATTTAATAGAGGTTGAGTCTAGCCAAATTATATCTGGCCTCAGCCAAATTATATCTGGCCCTATATCTAAGCTATTGCCATAGTTGTATCTTTTCAAATGACACACCCAATATGCTACAGGCAGTGTCAATGCTATTGCAGCACTCACAATATTTGGGCCTCCCTTTTGGGGCCTGGTATTCCAGGCAGTAATAAGTGGTTGCTTCTAGCTACTATTTTTCATGCCTGCAATGTTTGCAATAAAGTGTCACTCAAATCTGGGCAACCTACACCCTCAAGCCATATGTAGCTCTCAGCCTAATTTCAGAAAGCCATTATGTGGTCAATTTAAAGTTCTGGGGGGAAAAAGCTATTTCTCTCTTTTTTGATGGTCTAATGGTCTGAGTAAGAAAAGAAAGTAAGAAAGGGGCTGCAAATGCAAAATCAGGTATGAAAAGAAAGAGAAATAGGACCACAAAAAAACTACTCCAGCTCATCCTTTGTTTCTACGTCACTTTCATGACAGGCTTGAAGATTCCTAGTTGTAATTCTTGATAGATAACCAAAGGCAAAATAAAACTGTTCCATTGCCAAGGTGAAGTTTCAATATCCAGATTTCCAAAACGTTTCCAGAATGAGAGAATGTATTTATTTATAAAATGTCTATGCTGCCCAATTTTCAATGGCTCTAACACAGACGGACAATCTATGGCTCACAATTCCCCAGCTTAATTTTAAAAGTGTCCTGAAGTTTAAAATTTTATTGACATTTACCTCTTCTTTCCCTGCAGCCCTACCCTTTGTTGAGAGAACAAGGTTGTCCACCCAAAGGTAAAAGGAAGGATTTATCGCCATCCAGGTGCATTTAAAAGACGAAAAGGGTGCTAAAGGTCAAGATGGTAGCCATCGCCACAGTGTTTTTTACGTCTTTATTTACACCTATTACATGTGGAGTCCATGTAAAAAAAGGGGATGGAACTTTGATTGCATGGACACAAATATCACCACTATGTTTGATCTCTCTCTCTCTCTCTCTCTCACACACACACACACACACACAAGCCCTATTTCCATCCTATTTGAACTCAGGCCTCCACCCACTGTTTATTTCTGCTTCATCCAAAGTGGACACTCATCTGATAGAACATGAACTTTACTAGAAAAAGTACTGTTTCAATAAGTTTGAACTTACGGAATGAAAAGCTTACTGATAAAAACACAATTGCATAGCTATATAGCTAAGATATTTTAAATTCCCTTTGACCCATCACCCATGTTCATCTTGCCATTCATTCCATATATAACACAAAAATACAGTATATATGCCCATATGCAACTGTTATTTCTGTTTACAGACTAGGCATAAGGAATTGGTAGGGTGTATCAAATAAGTCAGTGAATGTATTTCCATGTCAGTGGCTGCACGTCCATTAGCTAAGGCCATCCTATAAGAATCAATAGTTTTCCTATCTGACTTTCTTCATATGAACATTGGCTCATGTAGTCAGACTGAGTTGGCCCAGACAATCAACAAATGATATTCATTCACATGAATAGATAGAGGAAAAGAGGAATAAATTTTCTGAATGGTAACAATAACTTTTTAAAGAATTGAACTTAAGAATCAGAGAATTTGGACTCAATTTCCAAGAACACAAAGTCTGATTGTAGCAATGATTATATCAATAAAGCCCCAGGAAAGCAAAAGCTACAAGATGAAATGAATAGGTCCATAGAATATTATTCTTGGGTTGGTTCCTAAAGATGAGCCAAAATTCCAGCAAATCCATAAAGATGACAAGGAGGGACCAATGGATAAAAGCAGCATTGCAACATCACAGTGCAGACCCTGCCCCTTTCTGTGTGTGCCACACCATGTCGTATGCCCACTCCATATTGCCAAGGCAAACAGATCTCCCAATCTGTGTTCTTTGGCTTAATTACCCATCTACAGCAAAACTGAGGCAGAAAATGTGTCCTGCACTGTTGAGGCTACTACCAATCACTATATTGAGTCATACCATGTTTATGTACTGACAATAACACCAATACAGTGTGAAGTGGGAAATCAGAGAGCACAACCCAGTTGCTTCAATCATTGTGTCACTGAAGGCAGTGTATTTCATTTGCATTCACTAAGAATGTTATGTGATTGGATGTCAATTTTGAGGCATCTTATTAAAGAAAGAGGAGTATGGTTCTAAGTGAACTTCAACAAGGAACACCATATAAAAATACATGAAAAAAGATACACTGGACTTTTTTCTCCCTTAATATTTTGCAAGAAAATTGAGTATAGAAATTGAATCCCAGAACTGTACAATTCAAACTTTAAGGAGACTTTTCAATTCAGGAACTGATTGTTATTTGGAAGTACACCAACAGTTTGTTTTAGATGGCTGTAGTTATTCTGGCTCAAAGAGTGATAAAGAATAGTTTTGTTGTTTTAATTTTACTCAAATTCCACTGTTGCTTTTTAACATTATTTTTACAGTTTATTTTTATTCCTTGGTTTAAAGAACCATGCAATAAACTATACAAGTTCTTAGGAGTGAGTCAAAAATAGTGGCTTGCAAACGTTTATTTAACTGCCACGCTATGCTGATTAACCAGCAGTAGAAAATCACAGAGCTAAATATTATCACTATCTAAAAATGTAACAGCATTCAGCCTTCTTCTTTTCTCAAACACCCCCCTTTTTTACAGTCCTGATTTTATACTATAAAAGAATACTCAAAAATACTAAATGCAAAATCACTTATCAGTTTAAAATGAAATATCAGCCTTATTTAATAAATCATTGAAAATACAACCAGGGTGTATAATCATCTTGTATAACAGCTTTAGTTGACCAAAATATTGAGATGAGAAAATGGAAAAAAAACTTTATGTGAAACATACCTAAGTCAAATAACTAAGCCAGATACAGTAGAATTCCAAAGGTGCATAAAAATAAGAGTTTTCTTTCTTTTTTAAAGAGTCCTGTTTGATTAAGTTGAACGGCATAGCAAGTCACATAATTAATATGGAAAGTGGTAAATTCATATAGCCATATATTAGAATTATACTTCCTCTCGGATGCCTCTGAAGTTTGGATGCTTTGCAGACAGTAATGACTGATATAATGGCTTCATTTCTTCATATAATTACATTAATACTTACACAGTGCTTTTAATCTTCAAAGCATTTCATATACTTAATTGAAAAGGAGTGATCCAGTGTCTAGCCCGATAAGAACTAAAATGTTTGCCAATTACAGCTGTCAAGTAAAAATGTGCTTTTTAACTAATAGAACACCAACATAAATGTCACTTCAATCACATTTTCCCGCGTTTCTGCTTTTAAAAGCTTAAGATCAACTATATCTACAACATCTGCCACTTAAAACCACAGACTCCTGAGCATTTTTTCCATGTCCAATACCAAAGAATTCAGCAGCCAGAAATTAACATGTATTTACATCAGTCCCAGGATTCAAACATCTGGATATGCTCAGTTTCAGACCAGTATTGCAAATAAGTGCAAAATGTCTTATTGCTGAGATGAATACTTCCCATGCTCAGTCTTCCTACTGGAAGAGCCAAGAAGTAAAGCAATTGTGGACACCTAACCCCTTTACTGGGATATATTTACTGCTGAGTTCAAGCTCTCTGCAATGATTGCATGAAATAATTTAATAGTGATTCATTAAATCATGTTGTTAAATAGAAAACTATTTCATGTTGATGAACACTTTGCAAGAAAATAATCATGTCCCCTCTTTCACTTATATAATCTTATATATTTTGTGAAAGAATGTAGATCTAGCCTTTGAAATGGGAAATTTATGGGGGAAGGAAAGAGTAAACTGTTAAGGGGGGGATTTCAGAAAAGATTATTTAGTCCTGAAAAAGAAACACAAAGAGATTTTGTATGGAATTACATGGAGCAGTTAAAAACTGACAGACTGACAATATTTTATAATTCAATAATAAAGAGCATTCTGGAATCTCTGCCATGCCTGTTCCTTAACTTTACCAACACTGAAATGCTGATTATTATAGGTATAGCTAGAGAGGATATATTTAAAATAAATAAATAAATATAAATATCTGTATTAAGAGTTGAACAAAAATAGTCATTCAACATTCTCTCAAAATAAATAATAGATGGTTTCTCCAAATTTCTTCACGGAAGGAGAAATTCTCCACCCCAGGATGATGATAGCAGCACAGCTACTGAATAAAAAAAACAAGGAAAGGATTTGCTCTTATTTACAGTACTTCCCTTAGGATTTAATTGAAATGCCAGAAGTTAAAAGAGAAGCTGAAGAATCTGGAAAGATACTGCACAGGCATTTGCTGAATCTGAAGGTTCTGCCAAAATGGAAAAATATGTATTACAACGTGGTATGCAAGTCTCCCTTTTGCATACCTGCTTACCCATCACAATGCATATACAAAAAGGGAGGACTTTGCATCATAATGTTTGTTTGGTCATTTGTCTTGATCCCTGTCCTTCCCAGCAAGCTCTCCTGAGATGTGTCTAAAATGAAAGATTCTTGGCCACCTAACCAGTAGATCAGCTACAATATCTGCACCGGCAGTGAGATTCAAATTTTTTTACTACTGGTTCTGTGGGTGTGGCTTGGGGGCATGGCATGGCTTGGTGGGCTTGGCTTGGTGGGTATGAGACAGGAAGGTTACTGAAAAATCCCATGCCCTCCCCATCCCACTAACGTGTTTTCCAGCTCCGTTCTCCTGTTCAACAAAAGACCCAGCCGATCAGCTGGGGCTCGGGAGGCAGAGAATAGATGGGGGCAGGGCCAGTCAGAGGTGGCATTTGCTGGTTCTCCGAATTACTCAAAATTTCTGCTACCGGATCTCCAGAACTGGTCAGAACCTGTTGAATACCACCTCTGATCTGCACCCATAAGCATTTCTCCAAAACTTGCTGCTTCTTTGAGAAAAACAAATTCTCTTTCATGAAATTGAGTAAGATCTGTTTGTAAAAAACATATATCTTTTTCTTAAAGATATGTGCCCAAATTATTGTGCGGCTTTTATGTATTAAAGGAAAAACTAATTTTAAAGTTCTGGGATGGGAAATCCCTTGACTAATAGACTACTTGTAGCCCATAGTTTAGGATGAAGTATTCTGGTCTAAGTAATAAATTTCACATTGACTAGGGTTTAAATGCAGGACTATAAATTTCCTCCTCTCCTATGTGGATCAAATTCTCCAGTATTGGTAGCCAGGGTTTCTGCTGCCTGGGTATTACCATGCCGCTTAATCAGTTCCTATCTGTTTGAAGAAGCAAGATAGAAAGAGTTGATGCTTTTGAAATTTGGTGCTGAGACCATTATGGATAGCCAAGAATTCAAACAAAAGTATTATCAAGCAACCCAATTTAGACTTCTCACTCAAGGCACAAAGACCAGGATCAAATTATTCTACTTGGAAGAAATTATATGGAGAAGGCTCTGAGCTGAAAAGGTAGAAAGAAAGAAGACAACCAGCACCAAAGTGGATAAGCTCAGTTCACTTGTGATGAATTCACTGTTGGAAGATCTGAAAGATTGTCAGGGCCAAGGGACAGATTGTCATGGAGAAAACCTGTTTATGTGGTTGCTAAGAGTAGACACCAACCTAATGTGAAAAATCAATTATCAATCGATCAATCAATCAAGTTTCTATTATTCTAGTCCCATTCTAGTCCCATTCAGTATAGATGGGAAGTATAGGTCTTTTTTCCTTCTTAGTTTCCAGTTTCAGTGTATTCTTCTGACTCAGTCCCAGTCTGCCTCCCATTCCAGTTTTTCATAGATAGATGAGAGTTTATGCCTGGGATAGAGATGAATGTACTTTAAAAGATTTATGTCTTTGTTCCTCTAAGTTCTATTCTAACCGAATGTTATCTATTAATTTGCCATCTTAAATTTCTCCTTAATCTTCTGATTAAATATGAACTAAATTAAATAATAAGGAAATAGGCTTGTGTCCTATTAAAATGATTCACGAAAAACTTTAGTAAATATATTAATGAATAGCTTGGCTGTTTTGATTAGTGATTTGGGAGGTGAAGTCCAACATACCAGAGAGAACCAGGCTAGAAAAGGTTGATATATGCCCAGTAAAAAAAGCAGGAGCTATTTTTGCCACAATGATTCCATATGTAAAACTACTTTAACTTCTTAGAAAAAAATATACAAAGGGATATTACTCTATGTAACTTTGCTAGCACTGCACTGTAGCAGCATAATCTAAGAAGTCTTTGTTCATGTAACACCTGATTGATCATTTGCATGAATACTGCAGGGGGGCCCCTGTAGGCCAAATGGAAGAACATTGAATTGGAAACAACCCATTGGGCAGTTAAAAGCAGTTTTCCATTCATCCCCTTCCTTAATTCGAACCCGGTAGTATGCTTCTCTCAAGTCGAGTTTTGTAAAAGTTTTCCCTTTGGCCAAGTGGGCCAACATATCCTTCATCAAGGGGAGGGGGTACACATTCTTCACTGAAATAGCGTTCAGGTTTCTGTAGTCAACACATAAACGAAGGGAGCCATCTTTCTTTTCACGGAACAATACTGGGGCTGCTACCCGGGGTCTAGCGGGTTGGATGAAACCACGTTCCAAATTCTTATCGATAAATGACCGCAGCTCTTCTAGCTCCCGCGGTGTTATCGAGTACAGTTTCGGTTTTGGGAGTTTCAGCCCGGGTAAAATTTCAATACTGCAATCTGTTCAACGATGGGGGGGAAGCTCATCCGAGGCCTTTTCACTGAATACCTCCTTTAAGTCCCAATATTCCTCCGGAATTTCCTCCTCCCCCTTCAGGTTCTCAGTGCCAGTGGAGGCCAGTTCAGTGGGATTCTTGAGTTTTGGTTGAGATTGCCCCTCCCCTTCTGGGTGCTGGTCAGTACATATGCGCAATGACCCTCTCCTCCAATCAACGTGGGGGTTCCATTTCCGGAGCCAGGGCAACCCCAGTATTAGGGGCCGCTCCATCCCAGGAGCCACAATAAAACACAAAGTCTCTCTATGCTTCCCCATCATCATTTCTATTGGTTCCATTATGAAATGTGCAGGGCCGCCCCCAGCTACCGATCCATCCAATTGGCAAAAGGCTATGGGCATTTTTAAAGTCTTTAGCCTTAAGCCCATTTTCTCCACTACCTCCAAGCTGATTACGCACCTTGTGCACCCAGAGTCTAGCAAGACCAGCATTTCCCCTTTGGCTCCCGATGTGGGTACCCTTAATCTCACTGGAATGGTCATAGGGCCCTTGTTTGGACTTACCAGTGAGTCATCTTCCGATTCGGATTCACTCTCTTCAGAAGAGGTTGGAGTTCCCAGCTCCTCTCCTTTCGGAGGGGCGATCTCTACAACCTCCTCTGCTTTAAGCACCATTTCGCGAGGCTTTGCTGGGTTTTTTTCAGGTTTTCTTCCTCCTCCTTGCGCTCCCTTTGGTTCTAGCTTGGCACGGCAATCTGCAGCCTGGTGACCTTCCTTCCCACATCGGAAGCAAGCAGTGGTCTTGGGCTTTGCCGCCATTCCTCCCTTTTGAGGTTTTAAGGCTTCTCGAGGGCTGGTGGGGGAGGACTTGCTCCAACCAACCCCCCCCCCGGCATCTGTTTCGGGTCAGATCAATTTCCACCTCTGCTGCCAGCACATACCACAGCTGCAGCTCACTGGGGTCTCTTCTGGCAATACAGCTTTGATATACATCTTTTCAACCCATCTTTAAAACCTTCTATCAGGGCTCCCTGAGACCAGCCTTGAATATGACACGCCAACTCTCTAAATTCCTGGGTATAGTCAGCCACTGATCTCCGCCCCTGATTTATGGTCTTCATCCTATTTCTGGCCTTACGTTCAGCAAGTGGGTCTTCAAACCTGGCCCGCAGCGCAGTCATGAACAGGTCATAATTAAACAGCTGAGGGGCATTATCATTATGCAAAGTCACCATCCACTTTGCAGCTGTTCCCTCCAAAGCCCTGGTAACACATCTAACTTTGGCTGCTTCTGAGGAAAAATCCCCTCCATATTCCTCCATATGGCTCCAGACTTGTGCCAGGAAGAATCCAAACTCCTTGGGATCCCCCCCATATTTTACTTCCAATGGAGGCACCTTTGGAGTTCTACGTCTTCTGGCAATTACTCCTCCCGCTGGGGGCCCCTGGGCTGCTGCTGCCTGTTGCACTAGCCCAGGTTGATTTATGGGGGTGGCTGCTCTGATTCTTCTGGCTGGGGCTGCCTCCCCCTCCTCTCCCTCATACCTTTGATCAGTTTGAGGTTCTCCAATAGCTTCATTTAGAAGATGCATGGCTTGAGTTAGTAAAAAATTCTTTCTTTCCTTCTCCTGCCATGGCTCCTCTCTTCCACGCCGACGGGTAGTGGTCACTCCTGGAGGAGGCTTTTCCTCAGGATCCTTCCAACTGACTCCCAGGGACCATTTGGGTTTTACAGCTGGTTTTCCCCCAAGATTTAGTTCTGCTAACAAGTTGGCTTCCCCTGCTTCCTTTAGCAGCAGAGAATCTTGTCCTCCAGTTGCTCCCAGGTCTTCTTGGTCGCTGGCTGGATTTGACATTGTGTTCAGATCCCCTCGGAAGAAAATTTATTAATTCTCCGGGTGGGCTGGTAATGTGGAGATTCAGAATAATGTCAGCTGGTGCTCCATTCAAAATCCAAGAAAAAAATACTTAGACTCCTTTAATCAGAGAAAAGATATCTTTTACTGTAAATCAAGTGGTAGCAACAAAAGAATTCTGAATCTGAGAAAATGGGCGCGTAAATCACATATACAAAGTAATGGCAACGTTCCCACCCCCAATAGTTCAATTGGCTCATCCAATTAAAAGTTGTGTATATCATCATGTGGGCATCTCCAGGTGGTGATGAGGCTTCTGTCTGTTGACCTTGACATAGTTTGATAAAGGTTTGCAGTTGTGCATAGCATAGGATAGAAACCTAAGCAAGAATGTACCCCTCCCCAGCTTATACAGTTCTGGTTTGTAACACCTCCAGCTCACTTCCCATAACCATTCCCCCCCCGCCCCCCGTTACTTATGACAGCCGAAAGATGCAAAGCAAAGGGAGAAAAATCTTGAAGGCTGACAAAAAGGAAAATATATGGATATAATTATGACAAATATAAATTGCATGTTATTTCAAAATAATATTGTTAATCTGGAAAATGAAGTTTAAAAATATGTCAAGATGGGATAAACTATTATTGTCAGTCTTATTATTACTTAGAATGTTATTATTGTTTCAGACAATATCTGAAACTAGTGTACCATTTAAACAATGAAAGACATATCTAAATTTGTATAGCAAGGAGAAATTTAAAAATAGTTTTAATCAAAAAGCATTTCAGAAATCTGGATATTTCTAAACAGAGTGTAATCCAAATCAACTCAATTGACATCACAATAAACCTTAAAAATTCTGCAGCTGAATGTTGCTTATATCTGCCAGAGTTAGGGTGAGGTAAGAACATCAAACTACAATGAATTTCATACATTATTCCAATCCTTTGTTCTTCAACCAAAGCCTATTCGTCAGAAACATATTT